TAAAAAGTCGCCATAAAAATAAGTAAAAATATCAGAAAAATCTACTTGAGTACAGTAACGAAGTATTTGTACTTCGTTACTTCCCATCTCTGCACACATTTATATACATACATACATACAACAGTTAGCTAAAACAGCCAACTGCTCTACAATGTAGGTAAAATGTAGTTTTTGAAGTCCAAATCTCTAATAGTGTTCAAGGACTGTAATAAGATGCAAACTAATCAGTCCAACTTTAATCAGCTTCTTTATATAATGACTTTAAACAGTTCTATGCCAGTAGCTCTCTGATTGCATACAAAGGCTTTCCAATTAACTTATGATGCTTTGCTTCTTTAATATATCCGATTTCTGTGTCGTATGCTTTATGATCTATTCGATAGTAAACGTAAGTGTTTTTGTATAGTTTCCATCATAAAAGCAGATTACCAAAGAAGCGATATTGTGCAATAAGTTAACAAGAGGGTAATGTAACAAAGCAACTCACAACAGAGGTATGAAAAGAGGAAATTCTAATACCAAGTTTGTTTTTAATGAAGTGGGAGCTAAAGCTACAGAAGCTACGGATTCATGATTAAGTGCTACCAGCAAGAGGAAATGGAATATAATAATGTTCATGTCGGTTGATCAAAATGGCTGCGAAAAAATGTGAGGCTTAAAAAGGACTAAGTAGACACTATCAGGGTGAATGCTTGGTGTACATTGATTTATTTTGATCTGAACATCGGGTCTTTGATGGGCTTTTATCCTAGAGACAGAGAAAGAGACTAGGTATCTAACCCTCAAATATTAAATATATCCATTTAACACCTTCAAACATGGTGACTAATGTTTAACCTTTATTCTTATCCTTTTTACACCTTCACAGTAAATCTTGTCAACAAATAATGATGTACCCACTATATGGTTTAGAGTTTATTTGAACAGATCCATTTTTAGTCAAGTATTTTGTTGTCACCATTTGAATTTGCTCTCAAACATTAAAAAAACAATACCTAATTTGCACTTGTGCATTTCTAATAACAGAGGAAAAATTTTACATTGATTCTACAGTGTTGAATCAAACCAAAAATATCCCTTCATATACAGCAAATATAGCTGTGCAAAGATCCATTGTGTTACATAAATGCATGTAAACTTTATAGCCAGATATATGGATATTACAAAGCACCGTGGAAGAATATACACCTGTCGAATGTCTCCATAATTAGAGATTATAATACAGGGGCTGTATCCTTAATCTCCGGAAGAACGCAAACATATTCAACATATGAGATACAGGAAGTAGAAATACTTTTTTCTTCTATCTTTTACGCAGAAAGAGAGCAAAGTAAAATAAGTTGTTTTGATATAAAAGATAGACAACAACTTAGTGTTTAATGCCAAATTCAACAACATACACCATAACCTACATGACAAAGCTTGAGATGATTGTATAGCTGCAGCTGGCTATGCTTTGATGCACAGCATTGCATCCAGGAGGTTGTCTGTGTACTTTACTTGTGCTGTTAGAAAACCATGGCGCTTTAAAAGACGACTGTACTCTGCCGCGCTTCGCTGTTTCCCCTCGCTCATGCTGAGAGCCTGCAGCAGCCCTCGACTCGGACCGCTTCTGTTTTCATCCAGAAAGATCTCGCTCAGCAGGAGGCCACAGCCTGGCAGCAAAAGTATATGCAAACAAGAAACTTTAAAGCATACTGGTAGTTAAGCATTCACTGATGCATTCTGCATTAACATAACACTACGAGTGACTAGGCATTTTTTAACTTGGTTATTTCCTAAGACAGTCACGAAAAGAATAAAATAAAATCTAAAGAGAATCAAAATAAAAAGACAATAATCAAAATTCAAATACACAATAGAGCAGAGGAAAAAACCTAAATCACAGCTACGAAATACTGTGTGGTTACCAAAATGGCATACTGTTATTAATTTAACTACGGTAAGTGTGCAACATAGGTGGGTAACTGGAGACCCATATTTCCATAAATGTGGTCTTCCAGTTTCCATTTTTGAGTCGGCTGGAGATAAACAATTACAACCCTATCACGGGAAAAAAAGGAATAAACTTGCAAATAACAGTATGGTAAACAAAGTATTCACCAGATAAAAAAAAAGCAAACTAACAAAGAAGCAAATAATTTTAAGATTTTAAATATTTAAACTTTTTGGATTTTAAAGATCAATAGGAGACTAATGCTTATACTGGGAGAGGGAGTGGCAGCCTGGTGGTTAGGGCATTGCGCTTGGATCCCAGAGGCTCAGAGTTCAAGTCCCACTCCCACGGACTTACACTATGGGTCCCTGAGCAACACCCATAACCCCCACAATGCTCCCCAGGCGCTGCACAATGGCAGCCCACTGCTCCCCAACGGGATGGGTTAAATGCAGAGAGTGAATTTTGTTACTTTGTACTTGTGACAATATACTGTAATGACAATAACGTTTGATTGTATTCTATTCATTCTTATATTAGTTATAACAATCTATGAGCTTAAAAAAAAGAAAAACTACAAACTGTTTGATTTAAATTTCATAATTTTTTCGTACCTGGAGTGCACGCATCTGAGATTTTCCTCAGCAGAATATGTAGCTTCTCATCAGTCAGATCATGGAGAATTCTCACCAGGATGTACAAGTCTGCTTTTGGCAATTCATCTGTTAAAAAGTCTCCTGTTCAAATAGTATAGAAAAGGGCATTTATGGTCACAAAGTGAAGCTGTAATTAAACAGCATTATAAACATTGTATAACATCTAGTAATTAACTGACAGTTAAGAGATAACTGACCTGATTTGAAGGTAACCCTTTCTTCTGTGTGCTGCTGGAAAGGTTCACTCTTCTCCACAACAGAGGGCAAGTCAAGCACGGTTACAGTAAGTTCAGGGTGGATTTTAATCAGCTCATATGAAACGGCACCAGTACAGCCTAGAAAAACAAAGAGTGCCAGTAGATGAATGCGTTCCTACTTTAAAACAATGTAAGGGTTTCATACCTCCCACGTCGCAAGCTGTTTTGTACTTAGAGAGGTCAAAGGCCGCTGCCACAGCAGTAGCTGCAATTTTAGCAGAGCTGTGCATGGCATGCATGAATCTTAGTGTGGCTTCTTCGCTGCTACAAAGAGAGTCCTTTAGATACAGACATAAAGGCAACATGTTAAGCTTTCACTGAGGATTTTATCTGCAATGCATGAATCCTATTCCAAACTTTAAGGTAATCACCTGACTGATCTCTTTGAATTTCTTGACCTTCTCTCGCTGGCTGGTTCCCTCCTTCACAGCACTCTCAAGGTGGGTGAAAAGAGGCCATATTTTATCGTTACAGTGCTGAATGTAGGCGTGCAGCGAAAAATTTGCATCTGAGCGCAGGAGACGTGTGGCCAGGTCTGTGTTCTCAAATACAGGTTTTGGGCATTCTGCTAAAAATAGAAATACATGTGAATCTCAGATGAGAAAAATCATTGAAACATTAATTTTTATCAGTAATTTAAGTTACCGTAAAATTAAATTTACTATGTACACTCAATTTTATATATTTCATTTTGTAGCCCATGTCTTGGGTCCTAGTCTTGTTGCACAATGTTGATCATTTTTTCTATTTTTCCTTTAATTTTTTTTCTATTTAAGTTCTTTTCTTTTTTTTTAAGTTTTGAATTTTTATGCAGTCTATGTGTTTTGTTTTTTTATTTAAAACCACACTCTTTATGAACCAGACACTGATGTCAACCAGATTTTTCCATTTACTCAACTTTTCATTAATAAGTGTTGGTACAGAACTTTAAAGAACCAGTTTCTTTACCAACTAATTTGTAGATAAAGACGGAAACACACTTGGTCATATAAACTCACAGCAATTACATCTAGTTGAATGAAATAATGACGGGTAAATTGATGGTGATTTTCTGTAACTGATCCCACATCCCTGATCTATCATAATCTGACCTACTCAGCAATTTGAATGGAATTTCATGACTCAGACAGATTAGGAGACACTGTGACAAAGGAAAAAAAACATCCCACCTTTGGGAAAATACAACCTAACATTTCTAATTTGCGAAATAAACCAGCTAGGTTTGTCCCCATGCAGGTGAGTCCAGAAGCACACAGCAAACATTCTGTGTGTGTATACAGAAGGTTTGTAGATTAATAATTAGTAAAATATTTTTTACAGACGTTAGGAGCTCTTTAGTCCAGAAAACAGATAAAGGGAAACAATAATCTCTTGAGTTTACAGAGCTGTAACTCCAGCTTTTTTCTTTTAGAGATTTTTGCATGCCTTATACCCTAGTGTTTTTAGAGATTTTTATAATTTTATTTACTATTTCATATATGTTTCATGTTGCACGACTGTACCACAAAAATTTCCTAGTTGTGAACCTCTTCACTAACAATGGCAATAAACCCGATTCTGATTCTGATTCTGATTTTACATTTACTGCCTGGATTATTTATGATGGGGGAATTTCCTACACATACACTCACATTAATACTCATTTTCCAATCTGATGTTACATAGAGGGACCCATGCAGCCAGTGTGACATAGGTTTTAGATTTAGACGTAAGCGGTGTATTTTAGCCTTGACCTTCATGGGGAGGATGTCAATTACGTTTAATTTTTGGAGTTATGATTTTTAGTTTAGCAAATTTATCTTTTTTATTAACTATAAGCAATAAATACATGTTGAATATACTCAAAGATGTGGCAGGTATATTGTGCTGGTAGTGGAAAGCAAAGGTTGGAGAGTTTGCTATAGGTGGGGAACGTGGACTTCTCCAAAAAATACAGATTTCTTTTAGCAATAGTCCTTTTTATCAGATGATGCATTCTATTATTGAAAATACAGTCTTTTAAATGATGGTAAAAAAAAAAAAGAATTCACCAAAATAAACATGAAAAAATATTAGTTATATCGCTCCATTTAATTCCTCTGTATAATAATGAAGGAGTTTTTAACTAAATTCCTGACACACATTTTTTGAACTTTTATATGACAGAATAAATGGGATCCACTTGCATCTAAATAAGATGATTCAATACAATCTGCATATTGAGAGGAATGACTAACTTGTATCTTTGGTCTTTATCAATCCCAGTGACACACAAGCTTCCAGCAGCGTCTCAGTCCCTTTCACAGAGGCTTTGATCTCCTGGGAAACCTGCTCTGCATCCAGCCCAGGCTTTGTGTGTAGCAGGTCGAACAAGCAATACTTGGATGCTGTAAAGAGTGCCTGAGGCATTTTGGGAAAATAAAATAAAGACACATAGATTATAAGGTACTACAGTATTCATAACAGCATGGTACATTAGGTAGTCAGTAAAAGAAAAGAACCACAGAAAGATTTGTAAACACACTCAAATTATTGCATAGATGGTATTTTCCTGCTCAGTTCTCTTCTCCCCTAACTTCAAAATGATACCCAGTAAATTGAGCCAAAAAATGTCTATTAAAGGAGCCCAAAACCAGGATAGAGTTATCATTCCACAATGACTGACTGACCAATTACAAATCTGCCATTTTCTAAAAAGGTTTCTGATGCAACAACCACTTCCTTTGGTAATAACAAATTGCAGTCTAAAGGAATTTATCAGCGGGTTTTACATTGAGAGAAAGTCTCTTTTACTTTAAATGTACTTAAATGATGCCTTGTCTATTGACGCCCAATAAAAAAAAGTCGAGCTCCACCTCTGGTACTTATATAGCATTTCAGTGCTTTATAAGACCAAGGGCCCCAAAGCACTTTACACTATATTCAGTCATTTACCAATATAGGTGATGTGTCAAGTAATCAGGCAGTATTTGCTGTGTTGTGGGGAGTTTTCTCTCTGCAGCTGTACTTCTGCTGAGAAGAAGACTCTGCAGAAGGTGGTCAAAGGTGCACAGTAGACTTCGGACCCATCCTACACACAGACTGCTCTAGCCTCACCCTATGATAGGCAGCGCGAGAGCATCCAGAGCTGAAAAGCGTGGCTCGGAAACAGTTTGTACCCTGCAGATGTTAAGACTTGAGTGGCACATAATTCAGCTTAATCTCTTTCTTAAATGTTAAATATTTAAACTGCAAGTGCTCAAAGAGCCACATTGGACCCAAAAAAACAAAAAACAAATCTGTCTAGAGCCGCAAAAATTTAAAGGTCTTATATAGTCGCACATAATCAGCTTAATCTCTTTCTTAAATGTTAAAAATTTAAACTGAGACCCAAGTCCATATTTCATTCAAGAAGCACGTAAATGTGTGCTGGTATGAAAATAAAAAAAATCCTTAAACAACTAATATCAGTTAATTCTCCCTGACTGGGAAGACAAACATGGATAAACAGACGCTTTCCCATCATCCAAAAAGGCATTAAAACCTCAACGTCCCACTTAGTAAAGTCTGTGAAAAAAGACATTAGAGCACTGACTATGCTCCTTAAAACCAGACGTTTATTTGCATAAGTATTGGTCATACTGCAGTGGTTTGAAATGAATATTTTCTGCTGGAATCAAACCATCAATAAACTACCAGCCTTGAGAACTATGGCAGATCCAGAGTCCAACACAAAACTGGAAATAAGATCATTCAGGAAAAATTGTAACGCTAGTTATAAATAATAATGTCCAGCTTGGTGTACTTTGACCTGAAAGACATATTAAAAATGAGGTAAAAGTGTCCTATGTGCAGGCTGATCCCTGCATCAGTAATTCACCACTCACTCTCAAGATCAATGTGAAAAGTTAATACATTAATTTATTCCCTGAACAGGTTTCTTTAGTTGTAACAGCTAAATTAAAGCCTCAATACATCCTGTAATTGATTTTCTTGCCAAACGGGAGAAATGATAGACCTTACAAAGCTATATAAACCTCAATAAGATATATAAAGCAAGAATCTGACACATCATATGCCCAGTTAACACTTTTTTTTCCAAAGATGCCAATTAAGAGGAAGTGAGAAAAAAAAAGAGTTTAGTCTGTTATACTATGAGAACATTTTGTGAAGGCTATCTTTTAACAGCAAAAAGAAAGCACAAACATTTCTGTTTTAATGCCAGGGTGCAAAGTGAAACCTTAAATAACAGAACTGTACAACACTAAAAAGTATACTAATGACATGAATTGCATTTTGGAAACCACATGAGGCTAAAAGTAACAAAAACCTTCTTCTATGCTGAGAGTTATAAAAAATAGTAAAGGAAAAAAGTAGCAGCTTTCAATGAAAGTAGTGAGAATTTGAAAGAAAATGGAAGAAAAAAACATGCATAAGCATTATATGAGGAGGGAAGCTTCTATCTACTAGCTTTATTTACATGTCTAACACATTTTTATCCCTTTTTCAATTTATTGACATTTAATGCATGATGGTTGCTTGCTCTGATATAATGCTCTCTAGAAAAGAAAGATGTGCAAATTACAACTCATCAGCAAATTAGCCTTTAGAATGGCTGCACCTCAATTTACTGGTTCCCAATGGCCCCATAGAGGTGGCTTTATAACACTCTAAATTCCTAATCTTTAAATAATCCAAATAAAGAGCAATAAATTGCTTTTGCCGAAAAAGAAATTTAAAAAAATGCGAAAATAGCCAATTTGGTATAAGTAGTAGGGGATCTGGAAAAAGGCCAAAAAATAAAGAGACTAAAACTGGTTTGGTCAGCCCTATCTAAATGTGGAAACTGCATATCTAACTGGCATTTTAGGCAAAGAAGGATGAAGTTCTTAGCTTATAGTGTTGGAGATTAAAGAAAAAAAAATCATCATACATATAGGTTACTCAAAAGTGCTACAAACAAAATAGAAAAATAAAAATGTGACAATAATTAAGAGATTAAATATTAATCAATGTAGAAAAATGAAAAGATGACTATTAGCTCACCGCTCTGATAGAGGTATGGAAAGGAGCCACTGTTAAATTTACAGCAAACTGCTTTAAACAGTAGAATTTACCTCCACCACCTGCTCAAAACCAGCACGACCCAAAATATAGCAAATCAAAGTATAAGCCCATAACATTTCATGCAACCTAAATTATCTATACAAAGACACATTTAGTATGAGAAAAATATCATTATTGCAACAATGTAGGGATAGTCTCTTTCAGATGTGCAGAGAATAACGTTTAGTTTTTTGTTTGCCACCTCTATTGTTCCTCTATAGCAGGGGTCGGCAACCCAAACTGCAATAAACCAATCTGTCTGGAGCCGCAAAAATGTAAACGTCTTATCTAAGCCTCGTAAGGCTATACGGGCTCTAAGTGCATTAGCCCAGTATAAAAAAGGAGCACTTGGGTCAGAATATATATTAAGCATTCATGATTAAATGTTTATCCTGGAGCAAATGTCACACAGTAGCATTAGGTGAAGGAGGAGCAGTGAACGTTCTCACTGAATAGAATTCACTGCGCGCCACTTCACCGCCCTTCACTACACGGTTTGTAGGTATTAGGTTTTATTGCATTGATGAAATTTTAGAAACATGATAAAGGAATCTTTCTATGGTGGACGTGTTTCTTTCCAAGCAGGAACTGACATCCATCAGAGAAGCGCTCTCTTAACCCGAAATGTCACATTCTCCGGCACCAGCGTTCCTTGCTGTTATTTTTATTTTGAGGATTTTGGGTGAAAAAAAATGGAAGAAATTCACATTCCTGCATAAGAGCGCTACCTGTTCAATCTGTGAACGGTTTCCATTCTTGCAACAAAACTAGCAGCAGTAGCGGAGTTTGGAGATGCAATCTTTGCTCTCCTCTAATTTATCCAGAACTTCTGCAATCGAACTTTTTCTCTCACTCCCAGCTTGGTGGTTGGCTGCATATTTAGCATGCCTTCCTTGGAAATGCCTTTCCAAATTACTCTTTTTATTTTTTGACAACCTCTCATTGCAAAGCAAACATACAGGCAATCCTTCCACATTAATAATGAATGCAAATGATTCAGTCCATTCTTCTTTTAATCCTCTGTTCTCATCAGATATCTTCCTTTTTTTTCCCTTTTGGATCCATGGTCCAGACACACCTTCCTCTTTTTCTACAACAGCCACCTGCCTGGGACTACACCGCACTGAAACGTGCATTGCAGGCTATGACCACTGATCTCTATGGCTATAACGCAAATTTCTGTTGAAAGAAATGTTTACATTTATTTGTTATACAATTATTTTACAGCATTGGAAAACATAATTAATGTTTGTTTGACCTCCTGCACACCATATTAAAATAAAAAAACAAAAGAAATTTTTATAAATTTTTGAAAAAATCTCCATGGAGCTAGCCTGATAAACTAGACTAAATGTGAGATTAACTGTGTAATTTAGTCTGACCCCGATTAATGAGACATCGGAAGATTGTTGATGAGAACAACCCGTTGTTTTTCAAACCATGTCTGTGCCTATTGGCCAATGCTCTGACCAATGAGCACAACTGACTGTGACGTAGTAAACGCCACAGAAAGCTGGTGGGGGAGTGTAAACAAACAGCCTGTTGGTAAAACGGCGAATAAGTCCTTCTTAAAAATGAATGAGAGTGGAGGCTCTTCCTGCTCATGTTTCAAGGAAAACCCCAAGTCTAATCTTTCTAAAATTGATTCCAAAGCCGAGTCAAAAATCGCATCAGTCCTTCACACACGACTATGCCGACAGAGGCCCACTGCAGACAGGCTGCCGTTAGCCCTGGCTGCCGTTACCCTCGGAGGTCCGCTGGCTGTTGCGGCCCTTTCAACTTCGGCAATTGTTTTTTTAATTACGCATTAAAATGGTAAATGGATCAAATAGTGACGATTTTAAGTATAATGTTCTCGCCTCAAATTATCTTAAAACATACTTTTATTGAACAACAGCAACAGAAAGAAAAATTTGAACTTTCAATGGAATGCTCCATTGAAACAGTGCATGCTACTGTTCAATAGCTTTCTCCAGTGTCGTGCAGCTTTGTCGTCACACCCTCAAAACCCTGCCCGCTTTGCATCCAGACATTCAAAACACATTTCTGCGTTGTGATTGGCCCGCCAGATTTAGGGCCTGGGGCATTGATCGAGGCTAGACCAACTCGCAGGCAGGTGGGGCTTCTTTACTAGGCTACCATGGAGCTGCAAGAGCTGCACTAAAGAGCTGAATGCGGCTCCGGAGCCGCAGGTTGGCAACTTCTGATCTACAGGCTCTATGATGATTGTTTTTTGGTGGAGAATCATTTTTTATAAATATGCCACAATATCCAAAATCGGGCATTGTGTTTTGTCATTGTTCCACTGAATTATTTCTGGCCTAAAGGACCATAGAAATGAATGGATGCAGGTTTGCACCTGACCTTCAAACACACATAATACAGATGCAAAAATGTGCACCTGCAAATTCTTTTACAAAAACGCTTTGTACTGACATGCATATCCTGCTTCCATAGAGTTTCACTGTTCAGTCCTCAGTCTAAGTTCAGCATGTTCTTAGAGGAAGCAGACTAAAACCTTTGGGTCATGTGTTCCCTAGCTGTTTAAAGATCAAACTCTAAGAGGAGCTGGGAAGAACAATAGTTCTTAAAGACAGATACTTAAATATAGATACACTAATCAAAAGCAAACATTAATACATACATTTTAATGTATAAATTAATGTACAATGAACGGTGTGGAAGTATAATCAATACATTTTCAAACTTAGGAATTATATAAAGATGCAGCTGAGAAATAATACATTTCCCAAATTAATTCCATCAAAAAAGTAAAGGAGTAAGATATTTTAAAAAAAGTATAATTAGAAACATGAAGTCATAGTCTGCATGCGGCGGAGTTCCAGAAAAGTGGCACACCGCAATGTTCAGACACCACAAACAAAAGTCCAGACAAACAGGAATACTATAGTGTAGTTCTTAATGGTGTAAACAGATTATCCGTTTACACTTTACAAGATGTGCAAAAACAACTTAAAGAAAAGAGAATAAAGAAATTATTCAAAACCGTTTAGAAATTCTTCAAGTTTTATACGAGCTACAGTCATGTGTTTACCCATCTTAAAAAACATGTTTCACTAATTAATCCAATGACATGCAAAAAAATTTGGGCAACCCAAAGTTGCTAGGAAACTCAGAAAAGTAATATACAAAACAGGAAGCACTGCAACAAAAACAATAAGCGAAAGTGCAACTTCTTAGCCGCATTCAGCCACCTGCCTCAGCCTGCTTTCAAAACCCGGAAAACTCTGATTTATTATTAAAACCCCCGTGGCAGGAAAAAAAAAAAAGGAAAATCTAAAAAGAACTGTATTGAAAACAATGAGCTAGGAGTAAATAAATTTGTGCTAAAAGCACTTGTTACCTTAGATGCTTTAAATCCATCTATCAGTTTATTAATCAGCTCCAAGTCTTCTTTCTTAGGCCCCCTGTCATCATGCATGGCCCCATCTTTACTCCTCAGCATTGGTGATATGGTCTCTCTATCATCATCTTCAAACAAACTGCTGACCTTTGCCTCACTTTTATTGCTCGTCTTTTTCACCTGGAAGAGAAACAATTTATGTAACAAAAAATAACATTTGACCAAACGGTATTTCTAAACCTAAAGACCCGACCAAACCTTATGAAGCGGACTAGATGACGGGCTTTTGGGTCTGGGGATGTTTTTAGAGCTTTCCTTCTGCTGACTTAAAATGGAGGTGGAAAGAGAGTCGCTGACGCTGAGGTTGACGGTTTCAGTTGTGTCGGGGGTAAAGAAAGAGCAGTGGTTGTAAATAACCCCTAGCTGTTTGCAGAAGTGGTTGAGAGGAAACCCAACGACGTTTAAGAAGTCTCCATGGACGTACTCCACCAGCATGCCCCCGAGAGCTTGGATGCCATAGCCCCCAGCTTTGTCCCTGGAAAAAAAAAAATCAAAAAACAAAGAGTAAAAAAAAAACACATTCTAGTTTACAGTAATCCACTGATTCAATCTAATGTCAAATAACAATTAAGACTTCCTTGAAAAAGTATTCATAAGATAAGATAAGATAGACTATTGATCTCAAAGTGGAAAAATTAACTTGTCACATTGGCTCAATATTTAAAAGAAGGTAACACAATAACCAGGAAAGTCTATATGATCTTTAGGATCTATTCTAAATATAAAGAAATTGATCAAAAAAAATCTATTAAAGCTGTATGATTAGCACACATCGTCACATAAGCCATGCTTATTGCCAACTTTAAATGAAAAGGAGAAAAAAATGCTGTTGTAGGTCTGCAAATAGCATACCCAATGTCACCATAGCCATACTTACTGACCATTTCAATCTTAAAAAACAAAAACGCTCTTGCATGAACTGAATGATTCAGTGAATAAATCATTTTAATGAACTGGTTGTAGTGATTTATTTCACTCAAAGACACTGCTGATCCCATCACTTGTGTTTTTATGGGCAGCAGCCATTTCTCTTTTTGCTCCTCAACACATGGTGGTTAGTTTATTAGTTTATATATGTGCATAGTTTTTATACAGGAAACTATGTGGATTGACAAACTCAAGATGAACAGGTTGAAAATCACAGAACTATTGAAAAACCCACCCCTGACTTATCACACATGAAGCTGCAGTTAGATTTTCACCTTACAAAAGCTGTTTACAGTTTAACTCTTGATAAATACCAGATACCAACAGGTGCATAGCATCCGTTTGTATGTGAGTATGATCGTACAAATTATACATTTGAAGAGTTGAAAGGAATACAAAAACATTTACTGGTTCACTAAGTGGCCATCAATTAATGTCCAGATGAAATAATTAATAGCTTTTATTGACCCAGAGACACAAAACTACCGTGAAATCTAATATAAAATCTTGACAAATAATGGTTAATTTGGTTAACATATGTTCCTAAAGATTAACTAATAAGATCCATTTAGACAGACCAGACTAAAGGTAATATACTTTGAGTATTGCAGTATGGTCGCCTACAAGAAGAGGCTAAAATTCTTAATCCTCAAGTAGTGTTGCGCCGATGTCATTTTTTTGGCCCCGATACCGATTGCCGGTACCTGGCTGTGCAGTATTTGCCAATACCGATACCATCGGTTTGAAATTTGTGTGTGTGTATATACATAAAGAACATAAAATAACTGCCATTATGGTTTTGTCAAGCTGCTGCTTACCTTTGTGAAGCTGGAAAAGACTAATACAAAGTTAATCTGGTAGAACTTTTTCTTGCCTACCTGGAATGGGGGACAATAGTTAAATAAACTCTTGGCTCTCAGAATGGTATCGTGCCCTATTTATTGGTACTCTCCGATACTGATACCACCATTGTAGTGCTGGATTGGGGCCCTGTTCGATACTGGTATCGGTATCAGTGCAATACTATCCTCAAGTGGAGCCAGATCGTATTAGTTGCAAGAGAAATATTCATGCTGGAGGCATGCAACAAAAGAAACGTGAAGCATTATAGAAAAAGCCATATTACGTATAAGCATGGCTAATTGTGAGCATTTGGTGAGTTAATGCACTTCACGAAGCCAAGTTTTAACATTCCTACAAGAACAACCATTAGCACCTGTTGAAAAGCACTGCTAAGAGCACTAAGTGCACTTTGACTAATGTTCACCTGATTGATACGAAGCAGCAAGGACTCTTACAGCCCGTCAGAGACAAAACCTGTCTTTAAATAACAGTTTCACATTTCTGTTCATGAGGGATTATTAGTGTCTTACATATCTCTGTATATTTATATTATCATTGTACATTTTCCTTTTATATTTTTATAAAGATTTATAAGTTTAAAGAGAAAAGTGCAAGAAAAACCAATTTTTACTTTTCTTGGGTCAGTTTTTAAATACAGCTTGCAAAAAAAAAGTTACTATATGAACACACTTAGGTCCATAAACCAACAAAAATGTGTATTAGTTACCCATTTACTGAAGCAGATTGAAGTTATAGTCATAGACATACTGTAGGTTTTCACACTAAAATGTTTGAGGGGTGGGGATTTGCATTTGGACGATTCTGCTGCAAAGAACATATGTGGTCAAAGAAGCTCTCAATACAAGTGAAAAAAGTGCATCCAAAGACTGCAACAATTATAGGAGTGACAATCTACAGCTTATATATTCTGAGAAAGAAAGAAAGCACAGGTGGAATCATCAACGCAAAAATACAGAGATGCCCAAAACAGTGGAGGATATGTTTGTCATGGTTAAAAAAAGCCCTTACATTAGCCGATCAAGTGGGGAAAAAAAAAAAAAAACTTTCCAGGAATGCCATGTATCAATATCCAATCCTTCCACAAAGCAAATACTTCCTGAAAGTAAACACAGAGGGTTCACTGCACTGTGAACTGTGCAGTGTAAACCCACTCATAACTCTTAGGAATAAAATGGTAAAAAAACAAACAAAAAAAAAACTTAAAAAAGCCAGCACTGTTCTGGGAAAACATTCTTTGGACAGATTAAAGCAAGATTGAGTTCTACCACAATGATGGAAAGAAAAGGAGTATGGCAAAGAGATGGTACAGCTCATCATTCAAAGAAAACCAAATTATCTGTAAAACATAGTGGAGGCAGGGTGGTGGTAGGGCATGCATGGCTGCTATAGTAGAACTGAGTCACTGTGTTAATTGATAATGTGAAACTGGACAAAAGCAGCCAAATGAATTCTGAGGTATTAAGAGACATACTGATGAAAACTGATTGATTTTGTTTCGTAATACAGATGGAAACTGTCCCAAAGAAAAAACCCAAAGCAATCCAGGTGGAATACTCTTCAATGGCCAATCAGTCACCTGATATTAACCCAACTGAGAATGCATTTAATGAGTTAAAAAAAAAAAAATAATTAGACAGAAAGACACACAAACAAACAATAACTTAAAACCACTGCAATATGTGTAAAATGAGGGAAGCACAGCATCTGTTGATGTCCGTAAGCTCCAGACTGCAGGCAGTCATTGCAAACAAGTATTTCAGTTATTTAAATTGTCCAATTATTTTTGAGTCTCTCAAAAAAAGGGATTGTGTTTAAAATCTGATAATTTTTTTCACATTTATATTCCACCATTTGTTCAACCCACTGAATTAAAGCTGAAAAACTAAACTTCAACTCCATCTGAATTATTACATTAATGTACAGAAGCATAATGAGAAAAATATTGTTTCTGTCCAAATATTTATAAACCAAACTGCATCTTGCATCAACCAGGCTGGACGCACCTTTTTTATGAGGAAGTGCATTTTTTATTTCTTGATAGCTCATCCTAATCTGAGTTTATCTTCAAAGTTAAGGAGCTACTGTGTATTTTAGGCCCAGAAATGCTTAAACTAATAGGCCTAACAAGGAGAGCTTTAGGCAGAGAAATAAGACCAAGTGATCATCTACAGCTCAGATGGAGACATTAGTTTAAAAAAATAAACTTTTGGTTGAGCAACAAATGTTGCTTTAAACAAAAGGGATTATCAAAAAGATCACTACTAAAACTAGGGCTGCAACTAATGATTATTTTGCAAATTGATGATTTTGTCGATAATTTTTTTTTCGTTTAATCGATTAATAATCAGATAGTCAAAGGTTTCTTAAAGAACATTTTTTTATGAAATCGAATCTGGTAAAACTAAAACGTTTCCACTTGAGGAGTTCTGGATAGAGCATATTGACAGACAAAAACGTTTTTTTTTTTTTGTTTGTTTGTTTGTTTGTTTTTTTTATCTTAAATGCAAAATGTTAAAAAAATATATATATATTTTTTTTTACAATTTTGGCATTATTACTGTTCTAAGTGACTAGAGCAGCTAAAGGCATGTTTTACAACCTCTATACTCCAGTTAACGATTACTCGATTACTAAATTAGTTGACAATTATTTCAATATCGCTTAATCACGATTAACCCGATTAATTGTTTCAGCCCAAATTAAAGCAAAACCACAAGCAGTCCAAATGTTGTTTGCCAAAAGCCATTTAGGGGACTTCACAAACATGACGAAGTGGACATTTTTGTCAGATTAGATATACACCTTTCACCATTTCTGTTTTCATGTAAAACATTATGGAAACTTGAAAGAATCCAAATAAGGGGCCCCAAATGGCATTGGCAAAACACAGGTTGGAACAAACATTGAGTGAACGTGTTAGGCGTTATCTATAAAGATTGCTTAGAAAGTGGATTTAAAAACCGATTTGCTCCAGGTCCATATAAATGATAAAATTTTACAGTGGACATGAAAGGAGGATGGGGTAAAAAGCAATGGAGTTTAAAAAATAATGATTTAAAAATAATATTATTAATGACAAAAATTACATATAGTGCATAGATATCTTAAATTGATACAAACAAAGGTTATAGGCAATTAAAATAAAATCGTTTGCTTTCCACTTTGCAGTTTGCACAGACATCTAGTACATTATTCTAATATTTTTATTTCGGATTTTTTTTAAAATGGTTCACATGCCAGTAGACTCTCCCTGTCATTAAGTTAATGCCCCCTTAATAGACACGAAGACCACAGAAATCCTTGCGTGTGAGTTTGCATCCGGATTTCAAAAGTGCTAAATATAGATCCAAAAACTGCACCAGCAATGATTTTCAGATTCGCTTTGCCCATAGAAAGAATTTACATTTGCACATCCTCCACCCAATATATTGTTTAGTTTGCTCATAGAAAAAGATACATATTCATGAAGGCACACAAAGAGAAATATCTGCATTTGATGAACAAGACATGTTGCAAACCCAATACAGATTGTACATACTTTGAAGATCTGATACTGTAAGTGAATATTATTAGGTTTGCATGCATTTCAATACAAACAACCCCTTTTTCAGATTACACTGTATGCATTGCTGAAAACAAAAAAATTAACAACACCATGAACAGACCTTTTTTCGAGGGAAAAACATGGAAGTTGTAATTTCAGACTGTGGGGAAGCTTTTTTAATAAGATGGTTGGAGGAAAGATTAAACAAAACCACGATAATCCCGAAAGAAACTATGAAGAGCAACCGAAACAAATAGCCACAGCTACCATGGAACAGTTTAGATTGACACATACAGTATCTATTTGAATGGCCAAGCCAACATCCCAGCAGGAATCAAGTTAAGAATATGTAGCAAGACTTGATAGACGATGTTTAGCAACGCTTCCTGTCCAATCTGACTCAGCTTTAGCTTTCCTCCAATACCATTGGTTGTTGAGTATCTTTTTGACGAACTTTGTTTACCATTTACTTTCTTTCATGAAATAGCCTAGCTGCAGAAAGTCATTAAATTCAAAAGAAATTCATTTTCTTTTTTTATTAAACCCATCATGTAACAATATATACACTACTTTTGCTAGACACTTTAAAATTTAATTTAGTCTAATTTAAAAGTATAGTAGAGGATGCTCTTTTTCCGAGTGGATTTTCTAAATAAGTGGTCTTCTTACTTGTCAATCATTCAGGTGATATGTTTACGTAAGGCCGTCCTACGTGCTCATCCCCATTTTCACTTACTGGTGGTGAGTCTGACATGGTGGAAAAACTGCAAATCTTCTTTTGCAAAGTAAGCTTGTATGAGCAATAGAAACAGTAAGTTTTTAACAGAGCGTGTGCAAGGAGAAATGGGCTCATGCACGCTCTCATACGCATTTAATAAGCGTTTCCTCTCAGTAGCGGGTACAGGGTTGTGCTTGTGGATTTTTTTTTGCACAAGTTGAGAGGGCGGGTCTTTTCAAAATTTGCAAAAAAAAAATCCTCCACCAAACCTTTAATACTTCACACTAACACAACACATGCCTTTTCAAACCAGGTAAACACAGCTTATTAAAATTCAAAGTTCAAAAGGCAACAAGTTCACGGGCTTCAAAATGAGTTAAAAATAAATAATATCGACAGAATGGTTACTGATGCAAACCATGCAAAGAATGATCAACACCACAAAGTCCCAAAGGTCAAACGTCTATACTCACATAGGTTCACCACTATTGATGTATTCCCATAGCATGTCCTCTGAGAGCTCTGCAAACTTAACCTTTGTTTCCTCATAGAAGTCTATTAACTGGTAGTCAACTTCATCATCTGGGCAGGAATCAGAGACGGTTAGAAATTAGACATTTTATCTGATAGTAACAAACAAGTCAATGAAGTGTTAAAACATACTGTCTTTATCGTGACACAGGACAATAGCGACTCCAGTAAACACACTGTGTTCTTTACCGCTCAAACTGAAAAGCAAAAAAAAAAACAAAAAAAAACATGATATATAATTACATGATTCTTTTGTTTGTTCTTTAGTGTAAACTGTAAAACAACATAAAGTCTGTACCTTGATAACATCCTGTAAGCATCCTGCTTATCAACAGGCTTTTCAAGAATCATGCCATTAACAGTCTAGAAATGTAGAAACAGTAATCATTTGGATGCAATCAAAATTAAGACAGCATCACACAAGTGGCTCCTGGAATGTTTTTTCCTTCTTACCACAATTGTGTCTGCACCAATTACCACGTCAGGGGTTTTCAAGTGTTTCTAAAGCAAAGTAGGACAAATACATGTATTAGACTATTCATCTGGATAATTGGCCCTGCGACGGACTGGCGACCTGTCCAGGGTGTACCCCGCCTCTCGCTGGAGATAGGCACCAGCACCCCTCGCGACCCAACTTGGGATTAAGCGTGTCAGAAAATGGATGGATGGATCTGGATAATTCTGCATTGTATGCTAAGAAAATAACCAAACTTACAATCGTCATCCTCCTGGCCACCTCCAATGCCTTCTGCTTGGCTGTCTCGACAGCATACTCATGAGGGGCTTTGAAAAGCCCCTTATCAAGAGTTTCTTTAAACCAAGACGGCACAACCTCGAAACGCAGCCCCTAACACGCAAGAGAAAGAAAAACAGGACAGTATTTACAATATTTACAGGAGTGTAGGTCATCTTTTAGATGGCAGCATTTCTTTTTTTATTATTTCTTGAAAAGACATTGCATTTAAGATCACAATTTTATTCTGCAGCTAAACAGATAACAGACTTATTAACAGATTTCCTTTTTCATGATAGAAAATGTTAAAATACGTAGTTTGATCACTGATCTAGAGGAATTTTTAAACTTAAAAACATGATATTTGTATAGCACTAGTTTCTTTTAAAAGCACATACCGCATTTCGCAGTATCTCCAGTCTTCTAGGAGAGGAACTGGCCAACACCACCAGTTTACCAGAGAGCTTAGAAATGACTGGATTTAGCACCATTGTGGCCTTGGGGTTAACAAACCTTTGAGATAGAAAGAGTTAAATATTAAAATATAGATGTGGAGAAGGCTGGACCAGAGACACTGTTTGAATAATCGATCAGCAGAACTTCAGACTTTGCTTTCAATATTCATCAATGAAAGTGGCTATAGAAGCAAAGCTGTCCATTGAACATGGAAATCTCCATTTTTAACACTTTAAATCTATTTGTACATCTTATTCACACAATTTATAAATACATATATCAAAAAATGACATATAACTACTGAAATATAACCATTAGTTGAATGTATGTACAGTTTGAACAGGTTATTATGCTATTGTTATTGTTAATTAAGGCTCCAAATAAACAAACTTAACCAACTGCTGCCACTTAGATAAGCTACCATCATCTAATAAAAGTAAACACGCCAAACTTCTTTATTTACTCTGTAGCATTGACATAAGTTCGTATCATCTTACCTGAAAGAGAACTTTTTAAAAACCTACACGAATCTGTCTATAAATAATTCCGTTTAGAACACATTTAGAAGACATGATTAACATTATCCACTTGCTTCCAGAAAGCTTTCTCTTACCTGCAGAAGGCATGAAAGGTAGTAAGAAACGCTTGCTAAGGCAGCCCAATTACGTATCTGACGTAATGACGTTTGAAGTGGAGGCGGATACTGCTACGCCATTGGTCGCTTGGCGAAGCCGTGCCAGTGAGACGGCCAATGGGCGATCTCCCTCTCCGTAAAATGATTGGTGTAAACATAACAGCTGACCAGGGGCAAAGAGTTACTTGTCTTCTAGCATGTTTTATTGTTTTTAAGTTATATTTTTGCATTAGGTTTGCAGGGGGCTTGATGTACAAACATCATGGAATATTTTTTAAGGATAGGATTTTTTAACAGAGCAATAATATGAACGAAGCTTAAAAAAGAAAAAAATGAAAATGTATAGATGTTGTTTTACTATAACAACCGGAAATGTTCAAATTAGGTCATAGATGTCTAGTAAACAAACAGTCCTGGCTGCTTACGCAATATGTTGTTTCTGCTGCTATGTCCAACTCTTTGATTTATCTTGTTCGATATGTGGTGGGTAAGAATTATTAAATACATGTGCAAGCTGTTTGTTTGATTTTTTTTTTTTTTACCAACCACCAAAAAAGTTTTATTTTTATTTATTTATTTATTTATTTTAGCTTTTATTGGTCATTAAACTGTCACAAGTACAGAGCAGCAGAAATTAACTCTGCATTTGACCCATCTTCTTGGGGAGCAGTGGGCTGCCGTTGCTCGGCACCCAAAGGAGCAGTGTGGAGTTAAGGGTCTTGTTCAGGGACCCAGAGAGCAGTCTGGGGATCTAACCGGGTACTTGCAACCTTCTCAGAGCACAATCACACTCCCCCATTGTTCCAGTTCCAATTTAAATAATACTGTAAATTGTATTCCCAAACTGAGAGTTATGTAAAATTAATAAGATATACAATGGAAAATCATTTTATTTATCTTATATTTTCATTTTGTTTGCATTTATTAATCCAATTAGTTTGTCTGTGCCCCCTTTCTGCTAAAAATAATTTTCCTCTCACTTCACTTTATCAGCACATTCTGCTTCTCACGCCCACTTGTAAGTTCACTAATAAAAAAGGTGAAATCAGTCAAATTGATTACAGTATATTAACTGCAGCAGAGAAAAAAAATTACATAACACTAATAATGAAAACAGAGAGGAGAGTTTATTATCATTTAATCAAAAAAACAAAACAACGACTTTGGTATTTTGACAGTTATACACTGACATATTTACAAATGTAAAAGAAAGACCACCATTAACAACCATTATATTAACCTAAGCATTTAGGTTAACCTGAAACATACATTTTTACATAAATTCACAGCTTAGAATGCTACATATTTTGCAGTAAAAACAGTCATGATGTGATGTTTGAGCAGACAGGTAAACTTTTTTGCAAAATAATCCACTGATGGTGATGGCTTAAGTGGGACTTTGCACAACAGAATAACAATTCTGTAAGATAAGAATTGCATTCATCACTTGGGAATAAGAAAGAAAGAAAGAAAGAAAGAAAGTCACCTGTAGTACCAGATCATATAAATGAAACCTAAAATATAAACACTGTTAAAGCATAACATAACATAAATGCAGAGTAAAACAACATGGTTCCCTTTCACATTTACCAGGAAAAATTATAGAAAACATTCCTTGTCAATGTTGCTAAGTTTTACTTTACTTAAGTAATGTGCAACATTCTCTTCAAACGTTGTCCTTCTCCATTACTATAACCTGTTCAAAACATTCAATAATGAAAATGTCATATTTTGAGCACATTTAGAAAATATAGTCCTCACCAGTTGTAACAGACACATGATAAAAATGTAAAAAGAACAATGATCTTATTGGATTTAAATGTCAATTATATCAACTTATTCAATTAATATGTTTCTGAATTGTTACATTATAGTTAGGTGCTATTATACAATTTAGAAGGCTTTCATACATCAGTTATGGTCCTAACATAAATATTTATCTTTCTGTGCATGATGTGGCTGTAAGATTTGAAGACTAAAGACAGTGAATTTGTTTCTTATTGGTAATAATCTAAGCAGGTTAATCTCAAGTCACAAGTTAGTCCAGAAATGAAAAAGGACTGATGAACAAGCTCCAGCAAACATGCTTGTTGAACACCTATTGTCCAGTTGCTTCAATACAGATCATGGAATAGCGAAAAACTTTGACTTTGAGCTGACAAGTAACATTTTATTAACTGTTATTGACCAATTTTTCCCCTATCGTTCAAAAGATAAAGGATTTTGCAACATGAAACAAGAACACATGTTGCAAGATCTCCAAACCCCGCCTTAATTTTAGTCACTTTCCTTCTTTCACAAGTCTTTTTAAGGTTTTGTATTATTGGTAGGTTCTAAATCTGACTATCCAGAGTACAAGGTCTCTTTGTTCTCTGTCCTTATAGAGTCTGCGCTACTCAGGCTGTGCAAATTCAATATCTGTCTCAATTTCTGCCTAAAATCTTTTGAAGCAAAGTAATATATGAAAGGATCCAGACAACTGTTTAGACAGCTAAAACAGAGAGAAAGCTTGTAGGCCATGTACAAAGACTTGTTATAGAAGAGCCTCAGGATACTATGAGTCAACAAGAGGATGTTGTTTGGAGCAAAGCAGAGCACAAAAACCAGAAGAACGACAATAGCCAGGCGTATGGCCCTGTCTTTCTGCACCGTCTTGCAATCACTAGACAGCTTGTATATGACACTAACATAGCAGAACATTGTGACACAGAAGGGTAACAGGAAGAGCACAAACACCATGGTGAACAGGAACGCTGCCCAGGCCCCCACTGTTGGGAGCATTGATTTCTTTAGCACGTCAAAGCATGTGGTGATCCCAAGTTCAGGGATATCAAAAGTCAGGTCTGTGGTCATGAGAGGGTACAGGACACCCAGGACCAACCCCCACATCAAGAGGCAGCTGAAAACAGCGATAGACTTTCTCCTCTTGTTCTTTCTGAATATCATGGGCTTCACAATGCCCAGGTAGCGATCGATGCCAATGGCCATCATCGTCAGGATAGAACAATACATGTTGGTGTAGAAAACAAGGGTCAGGAAGCTGAAGGGGATGGAAAAAAGGTTTGAGCAAAAATTAAACAAATTAAAAACGTCTTAATCTGCAAGTTGCTCACAAATTTTGTCCAGTTAAGAATTAGAACCAAACTGAAAAGGCAAATAACCAACCAAATTATCTAATCTAAATATAAATTAGTTATTAGACTACACTTATCGTTGAGGTAATACATTTCTACTATAATTTTCAAGTTGGAAAATGTTCTTGTAATCTTTGTACCTGCACATCTTGGATCCTAGTGTCCAGTTGTATCCTTGGAGCTGGTAGGAGATTTGAAAGGGAAGGGCAGAGCCAAGAGCCAAGTCAGTGAGAGTTAGATTAATCATGAAGATGATGGATGGAGTCTTCGGGGACGTACGAAACAGCAGGAGCCAAATTGATAGGCCATTTCCCACTAGGTTGATGACGGTGACAACCATGTATATAACAGAAATGACAGAGCTGGTGTTCACATTTTGAAACAGAGATAGGGTGGCATTATCAAGCTGTGTTCTGCTGGAATTCCCCCTCATGGTTGGATGGCAATTGCCCCTTATTACCTGTGTACCAAAGAATAACACAAAAGTTTTTTTAGTTAGTAAACGTCATTTTAATGTCAATTTTCTGAGATATATCAAGAAAGGTTTGATGACAAACACATCTTTAATGTATAATTCTGTCACCTTTACAAAATCAAAGTGAAAAGGCACAATAACTAATTAGAAACCACAAACACATTGCCTGCTTCTGATTTGATGCATACCACGCATAACTTTTTCAATGCTAAGGTGTGAAAAAACATGATTCAGGTTCCTTCAACCTGTGTTGTTGATTGCGTGCAACAAAGAAACTGTTTCGGGTGGAGTTTTCACACAGGAAAAGGGCATGAATGTTTTGTGGTAAGATATGCAAACTCTGGGTACCTTTTGTACCGCTGCAACGTAGAAAAATGTGGAATGAAAGGTCACATCAGAATCTGTTAAATCATAATCTGAGAACTAAAAACATTTTCTTGGCAGTGTCTATAAGTGACTGAAGATCGGAATGTGGGTGTGGGCAGGTGAAGAAACACTTTCTCTGCCATGTGGGGAGTATGGTCTTGGTGGTAGTGGGGGGGACCACAAAATATAGAATTCTCCACCAAGTTGAGGCACATCCTTGTTATCTCAGGGACTTTATTACTGTTAGCACCTCTGATCATTGTTGCCTTAAACATTGGATGTCTGGAATGCCTTAAACAGTATAAAATAAAATAAAAAATTATATATTCGTCCTTTCAGAACACTGTCTATAAATCGAACCCAGCATGTTGCTTTTCAACTCTGCAAGCACAGGACAGACACAGAAAAAACATCCTTGAGTCATTTTCTCTTTCAAGTGTTCAGTAATGGAAAGCTCTTTATTACTTAAACAACACACCGCACTGTATTTGGGTAGCTTTTTTTCCTTTAGTCACCAAATGTCTATTTGTGTAAAAATGTAGAGAAGAAATCTAAAGATATTTTAATAAGTATAAGGATAATTAAATGTAGTTGTTTTTTATCTATTTTTTTCTCTTAGATAAAGCCCTCATAATCAACGAAACTACTACCTTACGGTGATTGATCTGTAGTATGATTACTGAAAGTATTGATTACCTGCCTTCACTCCCATATTAACTGAGGAAACATCCCACTCGTAATTTTTCAGGTGCAATATGACGTTTATCTACCCTAAACAGCTACAATGGCTTGAAGTGTTCTAAGAAGGTTGTTGACAAGGGTAGCAGTGTGTTTTGACCATTCTTTGAGAAATTCATTTATAGGATCAAAAGACTGGTGTGGGACGTGACAGACTGTCTCTTAGTCTCAGCTAAAGAGCCAAGAGGAGGTCCCTTAAAAACAAACCCACAACACCATTCCCTGTCCACTAAATTTTACATTTGGCACAATGCCATTATCATACACTGTTCTCCTGACGACGAACAAGCCTACATTTTTCCATCAGATTGCCAGATGAAGAAGTAATATTCGTTATTCCATAGAGCTTGACTCTTCTACTGTATGGTACATTGTCATTCTGCTTTACACCACTGCATCTCACCCTTTGCATTGCATTTGGTGGTGCATGTTTAGGTAACATTGCTTGAAAATGGAAACCCATTCTATAAAGCTCTCTACACACAGTTCTTTAGCTAATGTAAAGGCCACTTGAAGATTGGGAGTCTGTAGTATCTGACTTTCTAGAAAGTGGCTAATTATGCGGACTACCCTCATCAGCATCCACTGCGACTGCTCTGTTGGTTTTCGTGGCATACCACTTTGTGGCTGACTAGCTATCGTTCTCAATCACTTTTACTTTCTTGTACATACATGTAACGGTAGAAAATATTTACTTCCATGGATTTTTTCTGATTGGACTTGGTTGAACAGTTGGTATCCTACAGTACCACTATACTACGCTTAAATTCATTGATCTGCTGAGGCGACCCATTCTTTTAACAAATACATACCCAGTTTTAAGTAATTGATTTTATAAATATGAAACTGATTGTATCTTCTGGTTCAAAATTTAATTGGTGCAAATACTTGTGGTGATATAGTTCAAAAGATGTGTTAAGGATGGAAGCAAATTTTTGTGGTGGCAATTCCGCTACAATAAACAAGCGATTTTTTTTTTTCATTGCATAAATGTGCAATATTCATATATGCTATCTTTTATTAAATCCGTCACAACTCTGGTCAAAAGTTAAAGTGATGTAAAAGGAGGGAGACATTAATAAGTTATTAAATACATAATTATCAGAAGTTATTTTAAATGAATGTGAAATCATCTGAAATCGATTTTTTTTTTTTTATGTAAACAGGAATTTTACACATACTTATGTGTTTAATAGGTACAGACAAAAAAGAAAAACGTGTTGAGATAGTCTCCTTTAAAGCTTTTAAGGTCTGGCATGTCTAGAAAAAAGGATAGATCGATAAATAGTTATTTTGTTTATTCATTGAAGTGTGGCATTCATGGCATCCCATAGAGGGCAAGGCTGTTATTTCTTTTAAACTCTTTTGAAAAATACAAGGCTAGAAAATAACAGAAAATGAGAACATAAGCCTTCAGAAAGTTCTATCAAAGAAATCACAATAAATTTCTCTAAAACAAGCTACATGTTCAAAAGAGAAAATAAAGAGTTATTACTTAAGATCTACCCCACTGCTCTATGTAACAAGACATGGGCGCCTTTGTTTTCCTGAAAGTACCTAAACTGACTTTAGTGGTTTGCTTCTTTCCACCACTCTATCAATACATTTAAATCTAACAATGTTGTCAAAACATTTGTTGTCATACATTTCTGTGTCATTTCTCAAATATTGCGTTTAACCAAAAGCTAAATATTTTAATAACCAATAAGCTATACTACATATGAATATAGTACAGTATTCTAAAGAAAATTAAAACAAAGGTTTAAAAAACAAAAGATAGGTACCCCTAACTAGGCCTACCCATTACATGATGTTAAGATTCTCAATTGTGAGTAAAAGTAAGGTTTGTACTGTTGAAAACGTACCTTTTTAACTGGAGAGGCAAATAAGGCAGGTGGGCACGTGTTTGGCAGTTGCAGATGGAGGCACAGATACTCTGACTGAGGAAGGCTGGTGAGGAAATGGGGTCTAAGCTCGATGTAGTGGCGCTGAAAGGAAACGCACCATGTGACAACCGTCATCCTACCAACCGTAGTAACGGCCACATGTTTTATTCTCACTTGGCATTGAACCATAAGGCACTGTCATATCGAAGACTTCCTCCACATTCAACTTGTTCATGTAGAGGAGTCATATTCACTGATTCATCTGCTTTATTTCTCCCACAACTGTAATGTTTCCACTGCAACAATTTATTCATTTTTTTCAAAGAGTATCATGTATAACTATGACAAAGAGGATCTTTATAGAGTTTACAGAGAACTACAACAGAAACTAAAAGAACACGAATCTGTGTTTTTAGGGAAATCCCAACATTTCATACTTCACTTTCTGCCATTAGCAGCTTTTAATGACTGCAAGTTGTGCTCATAGAATGATTATAATGATTATAATATTTAATGACATACATTAAATGCAAAGGGGAAAAAGGTAAATCTTTATTCAAAAAGGTGTTTACCATATTAGCTTTACATCCCACAATCAATTAAAATACAATATAACCAAATATAAGGGAAAATTTGCTGTTTACAAAGCCTCATTTCAGAGTGAAGCAAGAATGCAACAGTTAAGCTTGTTCATGTAACTTTTGTGCTTCAACTGATTTCCTGTTGATCCTCATAGTTCTGCTTTATCCAGGGGAGAGTTAATCTGACACAGTGGTGTATTTCTTTTAAAAAGAGGTCAAAAGTTAACCAAAAAAGTATATATATTTTAATAGAGAACTCTGAATAAAGAAGACATGTTTTCTGCACCACACCTGTCAGAAAAAAACTGTATTCTTCCGGTTCACTCAAACAGAGAGGTGATCAGTACATGTCACTCCTAAATGTAAATGACTCAAAGCTGTAATGTGCTTGTGCAGACTAAGCAGTTTGAACGTTGCCTCACCCAAAAACAACCTAAATAACTGAAACATCCAACCAGGACAAAGCCCACTTTTTTCCTCTAAGTGGAACCCTTAAAACTTAAAAAAACAAAACAAAATAATTGATATAGTGTGAGTAAAAAATGGTTGAAAAAATAATTGAAGGCTTTTGGAAATAAAACTATTGACAGTTTATTTGCTGACAGCTTTATTATAACATAAAATGATAAATGTGTTTTGACACTAATTATTACAGAAGTTATGACATTTAAAATTTCAAGGCTTTTCCGCTGGTCTGTTACAGTGTTCTCATTGACACACCATTTCCACATGCTAAGTAACAAAGTTGAGACTTTTTGTTTTAGAAATGAAGATGCACAAGCATATAGCCTGGAGTCTTATTGGGTGTGTTTCTGTGGCAGCCCTGGTTTGTGAAATTTTCACCATCTTCAATGCATTTCTTCCCATAATCAGTCAGGTTGGATAGGGTGTGTTGGTAGGCAGTAATTTTTTTTTATTATTTCCACAAATAATCAATTGGATTCCATTGTGAGAGCTAGTGAGACCACTAAAGCACATTTAAAAATATCTGCTACAGCTATTTTGTCGTTATTTTTAGTCAGTGCTTAGATTCACTGTTTTGTTAGATGTTAGCCTTTGTTTGAAGTTCAGAATACTCATGAACTATATCTATATTTGGCTGACTTCTACAAACTATCTGCACATTTCCTGCAACACAAAAAACATCCCAATAGCCTGATGCTGCTTGCTCTATGCTTAAGATTTGGAGTGGTGTTAGCCAACTAATGCGGACTGCATGTTTTAGCTTCTTTAATAAAGGCGGGCAAGATAACTTTTATACACCAGGTCTTAAGCATCTCTGTCAACATCAACTATGCTGTGTGCTTCTGGTCACTCTGATATGATCTAACTGGTAAAGCAGATGGTTTTGTCACAGAAAAAAAACTTGGGACTTCAACTTAATAAGTCACTTTTCTGATCAGAAGGCAGAGGAGTCAAAAGTATTAATGTTTATTACTCAAGTAGAAGTAGAAATTTTTACTGTTTAAAACACTTTTATAGAAGGTAGAGTATCAGCTTAAGCTTTTTACTCAAGTAAAAGTGTAAAAGTATAATTTTTAAAACTACTTTAAGTATAAAAGTAAAGGTAATGCAGGAAAAAATTTAAGGACAGATGCTTAAACCTTATACTTCACTACCTTACTAAAAGGAAAATTTTTCTACAATTCTGGATGAAATCTTCCTTATATTAAATCATGTAGATGATTTATGATCATCTATAAATAATGGCAACAGTGTCAAATTTTAAATTGCATCAACTTGAAAACTATTGAATTTGGTAGGTGGTGGACAACAAGTTGGTGCAGTAAAACCACCAAGGAATTAATTGTCTTGATGAAACAAATTATTTTCATGTTTTTTATTTTTTTTTAAATACCAAAAATGCTATAATGAAAATGTGCTTAAATTAGAAAAAACAAAACAAAAAAAGGGGTAAAAAAAAAATGACTCCAGTAAAGTATAGATAGCCAACATTTTTGCTAAGTAAGGTCATGAATTATTTGTACTTTGTTACTTGACACCTCTGTCAGAAGGTCAGGATTAAATTTCCTTGGGGGAACAGGGCAAATGTAATAACAATACAAAAAATATAACATATAATATATAAAGTAAGCCAAAAAGCTACTTGTGGCATCTTCTAGGCTACTAATATAGCAGATGAATACCATGATTATATCCAAAGACAACTGAAACTAAAAGTGCAGCACTTTCACTTTTAAATCACTCTAAATAAAACAGAAAAAGATAAAAATCTAATTTGGTGAAAAGGACCAATCAGTTCTGGTTTCTGTTCAAACAAATATAATCATAAACATAAACTATTTTTTCTTTAGTGCAGTGGCTAGATAAGGGGCCAGTTATATAGGGGCACTGGGCACTGGCCCCTGTGGGCCCCTGTCTAGAACCACCCATGTCTCTGACCAAACTCCTTTTTCTCGGATGACTCACTTAGGTTTAGCAGCCATATTTATGCAACATCCTGCTGCTTCCAACTATCTTATTTCAATATAATAGAGACCATGGTGCTTTTATGGTTAAGCAAATGCTCTCTAATTTTTGTGCTTTTGACTCAATCCGGTCTCAGAGTTATTTAGAAAACTCCTTTGACAGTGTGGTTTCTGCTCTGCAATGCACTATCAATGATAAGACCTCATTTAGACAAGTGTGTTCTATTCACAATCTATTCACAAGTATCACAAGTAAGCTCAGAGTTGCAGAAAGTTGTTAAAGATCATCAGTTGCAATCAGATGTACCAGAACTTTATTTTAACTGTTATATTAAAGGAAGTGAACACTTAGGCACCAATTTTTATTTAAATTGTTCTGTTAAATATACAAACTTGTCAGAAAATGTGATTTATGGATTTTGGAAAGTGATACTACACCCAAGCTTAATATAAATGATAGAAAACTATTCGCAGTTTTAGAATAAATCTATATACCAGAGTGTAGAAAATATAACATGGTGTTTTTAGTTTCTGGTGACACTGTAGGTGTTTATGCATGAATTCACAAAGCATAACATTTTGAAGAAATTTGATTTCCTTGGTTGTTCTTGGTCTGCTGGTTAACTGTACATACAGCAAAATACCTTTACCCCAAATTTTAAAAAGTCAGTTTCTTTATCAGTTTGACATAAAACATGTTTATATTACTATAAATAAAACAAGAAGAATAAAGAAAACACATTTTAAGATGTTTCATATGTTGTAAATAGTTTCTCATACAGAAGGCAATGTCATTGTCTTACAAATACTGTGTTGTCCTGGGTGTAACTGTGATGCTTTCTACCACACGTGAGAGGAAAGTACCATAACAATACATGAGGCTGAAAACGTGGTGACAGAAAAAAATAAACAGATACAACTTCAATACCAGCCTACAAACAGGAACTAAGAAACCAGTGAAGCAGTAAGAACAGCTTCCATCAGTTTACTCTGAAAAAAATCCCCAGTTGTTGTGCATCATTAATCTTCTCCTAAAACCCAAACCACTCACTGCTCATCTTTGCTTTTCTCAAATCCCCTCTCCTTCCCAGTTCCCATGTTGAGGACCTCATAACAATGCTCCGTCCTGCATTCAGGGGAATGACCAATGGGGAGGCAGTCATAAGGTTTATTAGCTGAACCCATACGCTTCCTGTTGCGCGCACCTGGCTGATAGAGCTGCATGGCTGGACGGTCCTGCAGGCAGGAAAGGAAGGTGAGAAGCGAAATTCTGAATTAATTTTCACAGATACACATAGTGTGCAATGCAAAACTACTACAACTGTCTCACATATTTTTCACCTGTGACCTGTAGGTTCAGGTTAAAATAGATATCAATCTACACCTTTGTCCCATTAATGGCGAATAAAGAAAATGAAACTTTTTTTAAATGAATAAGCTGTCAGTAATTTCTCCCACCTGAGCTGTGGATCTCTGTAGCTCCTCCAGAGTTACTACTAATGTCTTAGCAGTGTTTAAAGCTCTGTTTGATGCTCTCTTTACTCATGCTGCAGGTTTAGGTGGACAGTTTGTCCATCACATTAAATCGTACTAAAATACATTTAGTTGGAATAAACTGTAGAAATTAAGATATATTTTTTGAATTACAGTCTACTTGGGGAACTACGGTGTAAAGCAGAATGCACTTTAACTTTAGGTCACAGATAAACATCAATAAAGTAATGGAAGTCTTAATCTACATATCCAGCGATTTTTGACAGCAATTTATTTTTTAAACAAAGAAGCAAAACTTTGCAGTATCTGAATCAAATCTGCACTAAGGATGATTTAGAACTTTATGAAAAACACTGAAGAATTATTATATCAGCAAAGAAAAATCAAAACACAAATATTTGCTCAATTTCACTATGATTTGTTTTATCTTAGAGACTTTATATAACCTCTATCATCCTAACTGATTCTTTGCTGTTTTTCAGTAAATGTAGGCAATGTTATAAATAAATTTGAGTGACACGACCATGTTTGAGGTACTATTTAAATTGAATTTAGTCACCAATAAAAACACTCTTAAACCAGCATTATGAGAGACATTCAAGTCAATTCTCATGCTCACCTTCTCGCTCACCTTGTTTCGGAGGCGTTCCTTTCTATTGCTCAGATCCTCCCTGTCCTCCTTTCCCATTTTATCTCCACTGTCAGGACAGTAAGAATAGCCATGATGATGGCCCTCTTTCTTGGCCCGGTCCTGGCAGTAGCCCTTCCCCCATTTGGTCTCATCTTTCCGGCGCATGAACTTTTCAAACTCGTAGTGATGTCGTTGCCGTTTTCTCTCGTCATCCTTACCACGGTGATCCTTATCTCTCTGCCTGCGGCTGTGCTGCTCTCTCTGCTCTTTGTCACTCTCAGGCTGACCTCTGCTGGTTGAATATATATTGAAGCATGTATCATTTCATAGTCAGAAAAAAATAAATAAATAAAACAGCTACTGAAACTCCATGACAGATTAAGACAAATAGTGCAGATTCCCCTTTGCATCAGGTCAATAAATGCCCATCAGCTTGTGCAACAACAAAAGAAATGTACCTTTCTTTTGCAATATTTATTCTATAAATTTCATGCCATAATCTACAGAAAAATCATAACTATACCTTACATATAAAATTTTTTTTGAAAGAATTTGGAAGAAGTTGTAAAAACTAAGTTTAAGTTTAAATATAAAAATATTTTTATTGCGGTAAAATTTACTGCTACCTTGAATAGCAGAGCAATATTAACAGTTAAGAAAAAATAATCAAAATATAAGTAGAGCTGCATGTCTACTTTATTGACCAATGGATATTTAAACACATTTTTCTAACATTTTAAAATCAAGGCTTTTCTAACGATCATATAAATCCTTTATTGATAATATGCAATATTTTTTGAATGCATGGGACTCTAAAGGCCTGCAAAACGTTCTACTGTTGTCCATCAATTCTGTTGCAGTATCAGTTATGCTGGTTTAAAGAAACTTGCACATATATTTATTGCACTTATAGCATGCACTTATATTTGTTGGCTAGTAAGAGACAGCGTATAGAAAGACACTCAAGCCCAGAATGTTACAAACAATTTTTAATTAACTTTTAAAACCTTTTTACTGTAGTGATGACTTATGAAGCTGAATTGTAATAAAAAAATTAAGTTAAACTGTTATTTTTATAAGTCAGCCATTTCTTACTTTTCTTTTGGATCCTTTGATTTTGGTTGTCCTCCAGTTTTCTCCCATTTGCCCCCACCTACATCACAAGGGTCACTTTTTTCCTTTATTCGATCTGAATCAGCATCATCATCTCTGTCACTCTTCTTTAAAAGCTGTAAATAAAAAACAAAAAAATCACTAAATATGCAATTCTGCAACATATAATTGAAAAGCACAAACAAAATGTATTTTCTGCAGAACATGGAGTAACCTTAATCTTGATGTCTTTTTCAGAAAGCTTTTTCTGTTTCTCAGCCTCTTTTCGCTTGCGCCTCTCCTCCTCTCGTCGCTTTCGCTTCTCTTCTTCACGTTGCCTTTTCTTTTCAAGTTCCCGTCGCTTTCTCTCTTCTCTCTTCTCCTCTCGGATCCTCTGTTAAAAGTGTAAACCACAGAATTGTTTTTCTCTTTGTTTTTTTTAAGTTGTGCTGTTGTTTTTACAATTGTTTCTGCCTCACCTGTTTTTCGATTTTCTTGTTTTTTATGTACTCCAGGAGGGGCGTCGTTCTTTTGGCTTAGAGAAAACAGACAGAAAGAATTAGAATAGAAAAAGTTAATCGTATTAAAGAAACTTAACATTTACTTTGTACGTGGTGAACATGACTTAGCTTATTGGTATTTTGGTTACAAATAACTAGAAATCATCAAAATGCAAAAGGCTGAAAACAGAAATGTAGTAGTTTAGTAAATTTAAGCCCAGTCAACTTTATCACATTGAGTTGATTGGTGGAAGGTAACTATATGTTAGAATCTGTAATAAAAAACTTTGATATGTCTGTGATGAGATTCTAAAAACAAAAACTTATTCTAAAAGGGAAATGAAGGGATACAAATCTCTCCAACGTATAAAAATCAGTCCTTTCTCTTTCTTAGTTCTCCAACATTTCAGAGAATATATTTTTGCAATTTCTTTGTTATTTTTATAAAAACAAACCAAAACTCCTCATCCACTGATGGTCATTTTAGGTTTAATGTCTGAATGGCAATAATACAACAATTTAAAATAAAAACATAAAGTATATATTGTTATGCAATTGTTGTCTTTGAGGTAACAGGAGGTTTCCGTGTGTGGTTTTTCTTCTTGTGACATAAGCTTATATCAAAAAGTCCTCTGATAAAGTTTCATATCCCTTTCTAAGTGCAGCGGAAAGGAAACCGATAGTTTTAAAAGTGGGTAAATATAAATACAACAAGTTAACACTAAACAACACATATAAAAAAGGGTCATACTAAGTAACAGGCAAATAAACAAAGGTCAAACTCCATTTCAAGCTGAACATGATGGATGGTTTTAAGTAAGAAGGTAAGTGTTCTTGAAAGCCATCCTACTTTCCACTTTAACCGGGACTTTATCATGTGGCAGCGGTCTGGGCAGAGACGCCCTCACCCTAGACACTTCCTCTAGCTCCTCTGGTAAAGCCTGGGGAGTTCCAAGGGCAGCCATAGACCCTGTAGGGTGTTCTGAGCTATTCCTTGGGCCTACTTCCACTGAAACATACCTGGAACACCTTCTGAGGTAGATATCCAGGGGGCAGCTGGCACCGATGCCCAAGACACTTCAGCGGACTTCTCTCAATATAGAGGAGCAGCTGCTAATATTACAAGTAGTTCAGTCCCTTCGTAGGATGGCTAAGCTCCTTGCCTTATCTCTGAGAGAGTGACTGGTCACCCTGCTCAGGAAGCTCTTTTCTCCCCATTGTATCCTGGATCTCTTTCTTTTCACCATGGCTCAAATTTTATAACCATAAGCGAGGATAGAAACAGTAATGCAGCAGCTACATAGATATGTTTGTTTTGTGCAGAGGTATCAGACATAACATATAACTAACCAAATATCAAACAAAATGCAGCAAAAAAAAAAAAAAAAAACGTATAAATTATAATTGGGTAATTATTATGATTCAGATTTAAAAAAATGTTTTTTTCATTGTATGTTTTAAAAATTCTATATTTAAATAGAACTGAAAACTGAACAAAAAACTGAACCCTTTATGTAATCTTCTTCCAAAAACATATTCTGTGGTTTTTAATTAAAGATTCAGGTGAACATTTTTAAGGAAAGTTTATGTTTTAAAAGTATGTGGTAAGACTCATTTTTAACAGTGACATGTATTAACCTTTTGTGGTAAATGTGTGGAATAAACGTCTTAAAGCGTAAATTTTGTTTTTCCAGGTTGCTGTAAAAATGTATAAAAGACAATAAACCGATATAAAGTAAATAAACAGAGACTTAATTATGACAGTCTATAAAACATTTTTGTTTAATATAAATCATTAATACTGTTTAATGTTTGTATTTAGGCAGCAGTGATACTCTCAGGTGGAATGTTCAACTTCATCTTTCAATAGTTAGTATATTAACCATAAAAATTCCAACAAAGTTACTGTATAGTTAATTGTTTATTCACTTTAACATACCATAATTAAACACCCCTTATCAGAACTTCCTCTCTAATCAGAATAGAGAGAACAGGGAGGAAGAAAAGAGTCTCTGCATTCATTCAATTCTATTAAATTCGATATAACGAGCAAATGCTAAACCCAATCAATGTGTATGTTATGCAGAACCAAAATGGAATCAGAAAACATAAATGTATAAATATGTGTGTAGATTTATTACAAAGGACTTATATTTACTGATTTATTTAGAAAATTCTAATGTTTTGCTAATTTCTTTGCTCATGTACCGGTTGACACAGTATGATTAGTGTAGGTTAGGGATGAACACTTTCAGGCCCCGAAGCTTAGTATTCTGCAACTTTTAGATGTGTCCCTGGTCGAATGCGCCTGAATCAAGAAATCAGATGGTTTAGAGGATTCATGAGAAATTGACTGCACATGAAGGATGTATTTCGGCCATTTGATTCAGGTGAGTTGGACAGCTCAGTTGTAGGAAAGCGGCACTCAAGCTCTTGGGGTTTCCATCCCTGGTGTAGACTGACCCTAAATGGTTTTGGCACCTATCATTTTTCAGCAACCCGTCAGTACCCAATGGTCCCTGTCTGGCTACTTCTATAGCCACTTTCCCTCTGAAAATACTGGCTTAATGCGTGTTTTTTAAACATGGGTCGAGCCGCTAAAAATCAACATTTGGTTCCCTTCCCACTGGTAAAGGAAGCTGGGTCTAACCCCGTGCTGGCAAGCTGGTAGGCTTCTGCCCCCCCAGCAGCTGTATGTCTGGTGACACCATCGTGCTGGGATAGCTTTGATGATATCACCAGTGCGACAGATATCAGGAAAGTAAACAATGGAGAGCAACATGTAAGGAAGTCAGGGTGTAGTCATTGAGCTTTATTGTTTTGCTCCTTTATCTTTCCGAATCCCTCTCACCAGTGGTGTGCCATGTTTATTGAATGTAAACAGAGTTATTTTGGCTTGTTAGATCAGACATGGCTGTACGGTGTGTGTTGACGTCCGTGCATTGTGCTCAATGGTATCACGTAAATTAGTGGTTCAACACAGCTCTAGTGTTCCCCACAGCATGCCATTTAGAGCCGAGGTGATTATAACATGGGTTGCTTGCAGAGTCGTTTGACCAGGGAAGACATGCGTCAGTGAGCTTTTCCCACTGCCACTAAAAGCAGATTGTTTCCAAGTTAAACAGGTTTGTCGACCAGTGGGAAATGCGTATATGAACAAATTTTCATGCCCCTGCCACTGATGTAATATTATGCTTTTGGCTTAATTTTTTTCTCTATATTTAGTATACTTGTTATATAACATTTTTTTACTTGCCTGTGATCATATTTGAGATGATAATATCCAAAAAACATAAAGATCAAAATAAAATATCAGATTAAATGTCAAAAAAATTGTAAGACTATACCTATGAGCTCTCTAGTCTTAGCTTCTATCTCCCCAAGAAGGGTCTCAGGATTGGCCATGGACTTGTCTTCATCACAGGAGTAGTTCTCCAAGAAACGCTTATATTCTGGATCTAAGGAAAATTTCAGGAAAATTTTGAAAATTAAATACGACAAAAAAGTTTTTGCAAATATTAGAAAACATCAGTGCATTTTGGTTTGATAAGAGTCTCTCTTTTTTCTTGTATTTTTGTACCTTCTTCAATGCTTCCAGCCTTGGCATCTTTCTTCTTCAGCTTCTTTTTGGAAATTTTCTGGAAAGGGGCAAACTCTACTACAGCAGGATACTCCTGGCCTGAGTAAATATTAAAATACTGGTTAGAATAACCTTTAATCGACCAGCTATCAAATAGTAACTATGGCAATAAATGCACAATTTACCTTCCTAAATGTGAAAATTAGCCCTAAGCTTCTGTTTGCATTTCATATAACCAAATAATTTAAAGAGCCAGTCAACATTCAAGCCCAGCACTGTCAAAGCAAAAATGGGTTTAGAAAGATTAAAATACCCTTGTTGTCAATGAAGACATAACCATCAAATCGATCTCGAAACAGCAGGATATCTTCTGTGCTTTTGAAGTTTATATAAGCTCGGGAAAACAGGTGGGGATAAAGACTGTAAAGATAAACAAAAACTAGTCAATAGATGGGGGAAAAGCAAAATGAATAATAGTATTATAATAAAACTCATACCTTTGATCTGCTGGAAAAAACTCAAAATAGTCATAAGATGGAAGAGGACTAAGATGCTCTTCGAGTTGGTCCTTTGACAGGTTAGGTGGAAGCCTTCGAATAACCACCTGAAAGATTAGAAAGGTTGTATCTACAATTAAATAAGATGTGTAAAAAATGCAGCTTAAGCAGATCAGTAGTTTAACAACCATAATTTAAACCTTTAATACAAGACTATGCCACAAATGTACTTATGATAACCTCCTTCGGAGTAATTCTGAGTGT